ACGTTCTTAGAGAGTTCTAAACATCTCATAATGAAGGTGTTATAAGGTGCAATTAGAGAGAGAGAGAAAGATAAAAATTACGTTTTGAATATTACCACTAATATTTTTCATTTGCTGATTGTCATAAATGCTATTTACAAAAAATAGGCTATTTGGTTAGAAAAGCAATTGCATGAGGAGGAGGGAGGAGACACCAAACTACAAGGAAGGATGCAAAGGTGAGTAAAATCTAAATCTGCAGGTAACCCTGTTGCAAATGAATGAATCAGAGTTCTGATACTCTAAGATCAGAGGTCTGCTGTGGCTCAAGGATATGGGTTATTTAGTTAACAGCCATTTCACTGTCTACCTACTTCTACCTACCAGAATTCCTATGACTTGATGTGAGTTAGTTGGCAACCTTAGTTTCTAATAATTAGTTTAAACATATTTAACCCTGCAGAGTAAAGGTCAGGGATGCATGCTGAACTCTATTTTCTATCCTTACATGCATGATTAAATGGTAATTAAATTTTAATGAAAAGTGTAGGCTGATTACAATTAACATAATCACACGAGTCAGTTCATGTCCTCATGGTGTTTTACATGCTGTGCTAAGCCAGCAACACAATAGACCCTTGATGGGGTCCAAACATTTTGTGAGCAAAAGACATCTGCATTCCTCCAGTTAATCGACTATGCTGGCCTACTTAATAAAGGGCAAAAACATTAATATGTGCAGGGATTTCTAGCATACATATATACATTTCAAGAAATTTGAGGAAGACACAAATATCACCCCATGGTTTTTCTAAAATTTGAAATTGGATGATAACAACTTAAAATCTAATTGCAACCATGGGAATTAGTCACAAGATCTCTGCTATCATAGACCAAATTCTGGTTCATGTTAATACTGTTGTAAGGGCCTCATATCCTGGAGACTCTTCGCCTGCTGTTTTGATAACACGTAGGAGAACATTCCCAACAAATAGGCTAGTTAGTCACTTCCCAGACAAATATTATCTGGCTTTAGGTCATGACACTGAATGAGAACTGTCACAAAGGCAGCACTTTTCACCTGCAAGGCTGTGTGTTAAGGAATCTTACAAAGGCTGCCAAAACTTTGATTCCACAGCAATGTAAAACAATATCAAGCCCTGAGAACACATACAGAGAGATACAATGTGCATGGATGTGCACATGCACACACATTTTTTCTCTGTTGACAGTTGTTGGCTTTCAGTGACAATATGCTCAACTACCAGACAGATTAACTATATCAACAGCAGAATCAGAGAAAGAATAAGGTCAAGAAGGTTTGTTTCCTTCTGACTGTTCTTTGACCAATGCATTCAAGCTCTGAACTTAGCAGCTATGTTATATTAGCCAAGGCTCATTAGAAAGACATTTCTTCTGCTTATTAATTGCAGTAAGATAAATTCTCATAAAACAGACCGTTGCTTGGAAATTTTGCTGCTGATATTGCAGAAAAGTTGGACATAGGCTGTGTTCAGATGGGCAGTTTCATCTGTTGCTGTTACTGTTCCTTTACTAATTTAAAGTGCATGGTCAGACAGCAACATCTGTCTGTTGTGACGCAGTCATCTGATTCCACCCCCCCTGCTGCGTGTTTCTTTGATACCTGAGAAAGTCCGGTCCTGTTAATCTGAGCTGGTTCCAAAATGGATTGCTTGCTGCACACCCAAGTCATCAGGCAGGTCTGACTGGTCTCTTGTTTTCCAGCTGCCATTTTGTTTTACTAGTTAGCGAGGAACACATAACTGCATATACAAACCTTTCTCTCTCTCACACCCCCAATGGGGCTGCTCAAAACTTTGTTTTCTTTCTAAAAACTCTCAAAGAAAGACAGCTTTTTCCTGTCGTTTGGGGAATGGGTAAACTGAAAATATTAGAGGGAGGTGAACTCCATATCCCAGCAGTCTCAGTAAGTGCTTGGACACATGCTCAGATGGCAAACTTTTTTAAAAAATGGTCAATAGCCCCATGAACTACATATCCCAGCAGCCTGATCAGTGCTTGTGGGCATGCTCCAAGGACAAACTTTTTTTTAAAAAATGGCTGACGGACTGACTCCCTGACTGATGCCATTTGAGCATGTAAAAGCGCTTTGAAGAGTGCTAAAAAGGGTGAGTCTGATCATGACAAAATAATCTGGCTCAATTAGAGGTGGGGCAACAGTGGATTGAACTGCCCATCTGAATGCAGTCATAGTCATACACTACTGAAGCAGAGCAGAAGACACTTTTTCGTGGTTTTATACCATGCTTCCATCACACTGTTTGAAAAATTGAAATCACATGGGCAGGGCTAGCCATGCAGGTCTTGTTATGCGCTTGCTTCCTCCTCTTCTTGACTGGCAACAGTCAGGAGAGAGTTATTTGCATGCTTCCACCCATTCCAGATGTCATGGTACAAAACCACAGAAAATACAGCTGCATCAAATATGAGATTGGCACATTGCCGGCTTTAGACAAGGGGATGGATACACTGGCCTTTTCCACAATAGTTTGAGCTACAGTGTACCCTTGTGGAAAGAAAGCATAACGTTTAAGGCCTTGCCTTATGGGACAGAATAGAACAGAACAGAACAGAAGTGGGACCCACGATACTTGCGGGGGGAGTATTCCCCACAGCTCCCAGCCTGCAGAAGCAGGAGGAGCTCCGCAGGAGGAGGAAGCGGTAGCAGGTGAACTCAGGAGGCGGGCCCACCAGGCCCAGCAAGCCTTCTCCCTTCTCCCCCAGCACTGGTGGCAAGGCCTGAGTGGCCCACAGCCACCAAGTCTTTTCCCACACACCCCTCCCCAGTGGCGGCAGCGGCGGCGAGGCCTGAGTGGCCCACAACCACCAGACCACCAATCCTCTTGACCCCCCTCCATGGCAATGGCAGAAGCAAGACAGTTGTCAGGGCGTTCTCTGCGCATGCACAGGGAAAGCTTTTTTACTTTTAGGGGGATTTAAGTATCCCCCGTATAGTTTTTTTTTAACTTTTCAGATTTTTCTGCACACCTGGGGACTGCCCCAAGTGTGCAGGAAAATCTCTCTGCCCCCTAAGTGCCCCTGATGTGCAGATTCAGATATCTGCACAGAGGGGGCCTCTTGGCTATTAGATGTACAGATAGAATAGAATAAAGTTTATTGTATGTGGCCATTGGCTGTCACAATTCCATATAAAACTGGATCCCTAATATCTTAAAATACACATTTAGTTATTAAATTCAGTAAGAATTAAATTCATTTGTATAACATCTAAAATATTTAAAATGCCTCAAATTAAAATAGTATACATTTACAGATTCCTATTCCAATTGTAACAATTTTAATGCCTTGCATCTCAGTAAGCTGCATTCCTAAGAACCACCTTTGCTCTAGCTTTCCTGGCTGCTAACACAAAAAGCACTACCTTATAATATACCAAAGGATTCCCGTCTGACAACAGAAAAATTAGCTTGTCACTGTCAGAAAAATTGTGCCATTGATTAAGTATTTGAGATAAAAATCTATTTCTAAGTTCTGAATATAGTGGACAAACCATTACGTAGTGAAACAGATTTTCAATAGAAGTTCCACAAAGACAAATATGTTGTTCTAGGGGAAATTTTAGATGTCTTCCAGTCAGTACTTCTGATAGCATGTTCTGAAATCATAATGCCGTGAATGCCACTCGTAGGCTATGTGCAGTAATGTTTATCAAATAGGAGGCTCTTAAATGATCTTTCTTTAAGTTTTTATACCAAGGGACAGATTTTGACAGAGCAATTAACTGGTTATCTATTAAAGCTTCTCCATTATATACCCATTGTTGCAGATCTTGAATATTCCCTAAGGGTCTAAGCAAGTCATCTGGTACAGAGTATCAAGAAGTGATATTATTAAAAAAAATACAGAGCGGATTTTATCCTTACTTAATAGGGCACAATAACTAAATTTACTAAATGATTCACTAGGTAACAACTGGTATTTCTTTCATAATTTTAGGATAGCTAAATGGGCTTGACCTTATGGGACAGGATCTGGAGCGATCTGTACACTGCTAAATTTTATCAGTAATCTATGATTTGAAACAACTCTGTATATTACTATATATGTTGAAATTTTCTGAATCTAAAAATGCAAATGTATTTGCAAGGTGTATAACATTAAATTAAAATTTGACTACCAACTCTATAACACTAGATTTTATATGTAAATGTCTATAACATCATGGTCCTTTTAAAACTGAAATAAAAACACATTCAGAATGGTAATCTGTAATTAAAGGAACAGATGATAGGATGTGTAGTCTGATCTTCACCCACTGCTTTCACATTCCAGGTATCTTTCCCAAAATATTTGCCCGTATGTGTACATAGGTGGTGTTGGGGGGAAACGCTTCTAGGTAAGCGATTTAGAGAATGGAAACAGCAAATGCAAGGATTAAGCACCCCCTCAAATCTCTCATTCTAACTGCTCTTCCAGATGTATTATCCTGTTTAAAAAGGCCATCACATCTGTGTATAGTATTAAGATTGGACATTAGCAGCAAAAGTAATCCACCACTCCACCTGCAAAATGGAGGTGCACAATACCGATCTCTGAAAAGTCTAGATTAATTTATATAGCAGCAAAAGTAATCCACCGCTCCACCTGCAAAATGGAGGTGCACAATACCGATCTCTGAAAAGTCTAGATTAATTTATATCTTCCATTTGCTATGTCATTAAATTTGAAGGGGAAAGGGGAATATAGTATATAGAATAAAGTATACATTGTATAGTTTATTGCTATCAACAGTAAGTATTTTAATAACCTACAAATTAAAGTGCATACAAAGGAAGCACCTTCTTCTTTAAAAAATCTTTGTAGGTTATTGTGAAAAATACCTAATACAGAATGTATAGCCAGTAGGCTTTGGTGATAAGACTGGTACCCAAGGCATACCAATACCATACAAGCACTTAGTAGTAAACACATGAAAGGCCAATTTTGCTTGTACTAATGGAAAACAGAAATTCACCTACTTGAGAACTGGATAGAAAAACCAGATTTGCTGATGAAGAAGTCACTGTCAAACTGTAAAGTCAGAGAGTTGAAAGTGCTATAAATGTCCTCAGGAAGAGCAGACCCACTCCACTCTTTAAGTAGAATACTGCTTTCAACAGGGCCGTCCCACACCTTTAGGATGTCATGAGCCATCTCAGTGTCAAAGACAATAAAATGCAGACTGCAAATGAAAGAATAACATATGATACATGTCATTCTGGGCCACCTTTGATATACTGTATTTGAACAAAAAGCAAAGAATAAGGAGTAACACATCAAGAAAACCAGGGCCATAGTACAACATAGAGTCAAGAATGTTTATAGAATGCAATGAGTAATATATCTAACACAAAGTAAGAAATTATGTGCAACTGCAAGAAAAATAAAAGGATTGCTGCCATCAATCTCCACTGGTTGGTAGCAGACACATCCAAAAATTTCTGCTAACACTTATTTTTTTAAGCATTTATTTCCTGTACCTCAGTTAGATACTGGGTTTTTAGGGGGGCTAAAATGATAAAAGGTAAAATAGTATAAAGTTCAATTCCAATTTAAAATTGTCAAACAAAACACTAAAGTAGACATAAACCATCAAAAGCAGAATGAAATATAAAAATAATGATGTATAAAACTATCAATTTAAGCCACAAGAAAAGTATGGAAAATCCTAATATCAAATAAAAGCATGGGTGAAAAAAAGTCTTCATCCAGCACTGGAAAGACATCCAACTTTGTGGCAGGCTAGTCTCCAAGTTGAAGGAATATCAAAGTTGTTTTACCACCACTGAAAAAGCCCAGCTTCAAGCTGTCATCCATCTCCCCTTTGAACTTGTGGACCCTTCAGATATCCTATATTTAAGCCTTGAAAAGTAATAAGCAAGCACTGGGCCAGGAAGCAAAGGGAAGCCAATGAAAATGTTCTAACACTGTCAAGATGTGGTCTTGATATCCAGAACCAATCAACAATTTTGCCCCACAGCACTCTTCTTCAACTGATGTTTCTGAACCATGTTCACAGGCAGTTCCATATGAACCACATTATGGTAATATAACTTGGATGTGATCAATACTTGGATAATTGTGGCCAAATCCTGCTTTTCTAAGAAGGGTTGTTGTTGGTTAAATATGTTACATGCAACAGGAGATCTGCACCTCCATCTAGAGAGGCAGGTCAAGCTGCAAACTGTTGCTCTGAGAAACTGCAACCACAACAGGAACAGACTCACACCTCAGAACTGGCTTGGTTGGGGAGGCTATGACTGAATGGCAGAGCCTCTGATTTGCATGTAGAAGGTCCCAGACTCTACCCCTGGAATCTCTAGTTAAAAGGATCATGTAGTAGATTACATTAAAGACCTCCACCTGACACCCTGGAGAGTTGCTACCAGTCAAAATAGACAGCTTTGACCTCGGTAGACCAATGGTCTGATTCGGTATAAGGCAGTATCATGTGTTCACCTGGCAACATTACTGGCCCACAGTACTATCATCCTAACTGAATCCATCTTACCTGATTCAAAGAAACAGAGCTGCACAGTATCAGCATATGACACCAGTTTGGTGTAGTGGTTAAGTGCACAGATTCTAATCTGGGAGAACCGGGTTTGATTCCCCACTCCTCCACTTGCACCTGGCTGGATGACCTTGGGCAAGCCTTAGTTCTGATAAGAGCTGTTCTTGAAAAAGAGCAGTTTCTGTCAGAGCTCTCTCAGCCCCACCTACCTCACAGGGTATCTGCCATGGGGAGGGGAAGGGAAAGGAGCTTGTAAGCTGCTCTGAGACTCCTTTGGGTAGTGAAGGGTGGGGTATAAATCCAATCTCTTCTTCTCTCTTCTCTTATCAAAAGCTCCAGATGTACTCTCACAAAACATGGGGGGCATGATAAATCCCCTTGGAACCCCATATTGTAGCCCAGAGGCACTGCCTTACTCTAGGGTAGCGCCAACAGTAGGGACACCCCACTTTCTAACCTGAGCCAAAGACTCACAAACTCAGGCCAAGGAAGGCACTCTTGGCCTGAAACACAGAGCTAGCCACAGCTCTGGAAAAAGGGTCTCCATTTTCAGATGGCAACAAGGCAGCCCTCCCTCAGACCAAACTTCCAATCTTCCTCCCCTCCACCCAGCAACGGTATGCATATAAAATCCTCGCAGGTTCTACCCATTAAGAAACTACATTTCTAAAGGCTATTCAGAGGCCACTCTGCTAATAGCCCTTCTGTCTCCAGAACTTCACCTAGCAGACCAGCAGGTCTGTAGTCTATTTTATTTATTTATTCATTTATTCAAATGTATAGCCTGCCCTCCCCGCAAGCGGGCTCAGGGCAGCTCACAAATAGGGCAATATACACCAATAGTTAAAACAGTTTTTTAAAAAACCCAATATTTACAACAACATAAAGTGCTATAGATGTTACAAAAAACTTCAATCACAAGATGGTATCCTGGGGATGGTAGTCCCAGTTCCGTGGCCTCCTGGGAATGTTAGTCTCAATTCAGTGGTATGGGCTCCACACGGTATTATAAATAAGTTGTCATAGGGCCATCATACGCCCCAATGTTACCTAAACCAGTTGTTGTTGGTGTGGCAACAATGGAGCAATAATGATGATGCAGTAGTGATAGTGCGACAGTGGCAGCTCCTACTCAAAAGCCTGGTGGAAGAGCTCTGTCTTACAAGCCCTGTGGAACTGCACAAGGTCCCGCAGGGCCTGGATCTCCTCCAGGAGCTCATTCCACCAGGTAGGAGCTGCCACTGAAAAAGCCATGGCCCTGGTTACAGCAAACCTGGCATCTTTAGGGCCTGGCTATTGCAGCCAGTATTCTGATTTTATTGAGCAGGCTAATGTATTAATGGGCCAATTTAAAAACAAAGGCATCACCAGGAGATGTTGTGTCCCCGACCGTAGTGCCCTTGGGGAAACATATGGGGAAAGGCGGTCCCTTAGGTATGTCGAACCCTGGCCATATAGGGCTTTAAAGGTAAGAACCAGCACTTTGAAGTGAATCCGGTATGCTATTGGCAGCCAGTGCAGCGCTTTCAACACAGGCTGGATGTGCTCCCGCCTAGTGAGGCCCATCAGCAACCTGGCTGCAGCATTCTGCACTAGCTGCAGCTTCCGGATTTGCGACAAAGGCAGCCCCATGTAGACAGTGTTACAGTAGTCTAACCTCGAGGTGACCGTCACGTGGATCACTGTGGCCAGGTCATCGCGGTCAAGGAAGGGGACCAACTGCCGGGCCAGCCGAAGATGGTAGAAGACCGACTTGGCAGTGGCTGCCACCTGGACCTCCATAGTTAAGGAGGAGTCTAGGAGCACTCCCAAACTCCTAACCTCTGGCGCTGGTGCCCCATTGAAGGTCAGGAGAGGGAGCCCCAGACCTGAACCGACCCAACTCAGGCCCAGGACCTCCGTCTTCGCTGGATTTAGTTTCAGCCGACTCAGTCTGAGCCAACCAGCCCGGTGAAGATCTTCTGGGCTAGAGCTAGACTGGCCGCCCAGCATCACATAGAGCTGGGTGTCATCTGCATATTGATGACACCTAAGCCCATACCTCTGGGCAATCTGGGCAAGGGGGCGTATATAGATGTTAAACAACATCGGGGACAGTACCGCCCCCTGAGGCACCTCACATTCAGGAAGATGTCTCCAGGACAGCTGGTCCCCTATCGTCACCCTTTGTCCCCGACCTTGGAGAAAAGAGACAAGCCATTGGAGGGCGAGCCCCTGAATCCCCACGTCAGCAAGGTGGCGGGCCAGCAGCTGGTGGTCGAGCGTGTCGAACGCGTCTGACAGATCTAACAAAAACAGAGCCGCTGTCATGCCTGCCCTTGACTCAGCCCCAGAGCCAGCTCCTGACAGCCTAAGAGGGGAGGATTCAGTGTCTTTAAGAGCTGAAGAAGCATCAGGATCTGCACCTACTGTAAGTACTGAGGAGGATACACAGCAATCTGAGTCAACTACAGGACGGTTTGCACCTGGGATTGAGCAGGCCATAAGCAGCTCACCACCTGCATCTCCCCCACCTGTAAGTAGGCTTAGGGATCAGAGACGTCAGGAGCTGGCTAGCCGACAAAAAGAAGCACGTCCAAGAGAGTGGAGATCCTTGAGCCCTGAGTTTTAACAGCAGCCAGGACCTTGCACACAGGTGCTAATGAGTTAATGGGCCAGAGCACTATTTAGTAGGGCCTCTGGCCATGAGTAAGTTGTGCTGGCAACCTCGTTCGTAGAGAGAACAAAAAAGGGAAAGAAACTAAACCT